GGGTCAGGCTCGCCGTCAGCTTGCTTATAAGCAAATCTCCAAAGAACGGGACCATCGACAGCGTGCCAGTGAGTGGTTACTGTTGGCACTTGCTACCACTCGGACTATTCGCCGGGTGCCTCCGCCTGTCAGAGGGCGCGAAAGGCTTTTCTTGCATGCATTGTTTTATTCATTTGCTACTGTAAAATGCTTCTTCCGAGCAACAACTTCTGTTCTCGCCATCGATGTAGCAGCAGCAGCAGCATTCTGGCTATTTTCCTACACTCCTGCTACGCCATGTAGACATTCAGGCTGGTCTTTGCGTGTCACTGGTACCCGCTTCGGTGCTCAGGGCTTTCCTGCACGATCTGTGGAGACCACTCTGAGCGGCGAGGAGTTGCGAACTGCTTTTTTGTCTTAGTGCACAACCACGTGCTGCTTGCATTCCTGCTCCGGGGACTCATCTGTGCTGACTGAGCTTTGGTGCTTTGGAAGGTGTTCGATATGCGTTGCACAGGTGCAATTTGGCTTCTGCTGCTGCTGTTGCTGCTCCTGTTCGCTGGAGGGCTGGAAGCTTTTCTTCCAAATTGTCCCAGGAAAGGCAGGCTGCGCAGCTGGAGCAGCAGCACTAAGCGTAGCACCTGCTATCCCACACTGATTGCCTTTGCTTTGTGGGATCAGAGTACTAAGCAAACTTTGTGATAATTTCCATGGTCGGTGGTGTTGCTGCTGCTGCTGCTGCATCGTTGCAGCACTGTGTGTTCATTCACAAGTTCGGCATGGGCAACAGCGTCTCCCCGTTGTTTGCCTCCGAAACAAGCAGGCTCGGGAATTTTTGCGCCCTCATTACCATCCATTTTATAGTGTCTAAATTTTTTCTGAACTCAGCTCAGCCTCTCTCTCACTGTCTGATTGCTTATCTGTAGTGCTTGACGATTTAATTCCAGAGCAGAAGTTATTCGGTGTACCCATCCTGAAGCTGTCTTCATACGGCAAGCATTCATCTGCCCAGAATATCCCAGCTAAAACATCTGTTACCGGACAGGCGCCACCTTCCTCCTTGCTCTCCTCATTCCTCACTGTGTTCTTTGCTGTTTGTGCTTGTGCTTATTATTAGTTAAACTTTTGCTTATCTGGCGAATTGTATTGCCCATACTGGCACTCCGACAGCAGCCACTCATCCGTCACCTGCTTGACACCCGCCCTGCGGGACACGTCACCATGCACATATCCACCCGACCCCCGTGCCCCTCTTCCTGACCGTAATTGCAGCAGCACCACTTATCCCAGCAAATCTTTAACCTCGTTTGCCCCATCGTTGCACCTGCATTACAGAGTGCTCATGTCTCTTTATTATTTTTCATCCTGCATCGAAGTACACATGTTGCGCCAGAATTCCTAGGTAATACAGCAACGGTCAAGTGCATTTTCAGTTCATACTCAAGCGCAGCTGATACCACACAAGTATTCTGATAAGGGAGGGAAGGGGAGGGGGGGAGAAGAGTAGCGCAAAAACAGCAGTAGAAAGCTGCCGGAAAGTAAAACAAATTAGCA